ACTCAGAATTCAAAAAAAAGGAACTACAAATATGTGAAGGAACTAGAATCTGAGGTAAAAAATAATTGACTCGCAATTGTTCCTCTGCATGTCCCTTTATTCTTCTTCTGCTCTCTTATCTTTCTCCATTTTCCTTTTCTATCCTCAGTTCTTGGGGGTTCAGCTATACATAGTTATGCAACAGTAAATTTTTTTTTGCATTACAATGAGAGGCTTGAGTTTCTCAGGGTCTGCAAGGCAGATAAGATTTACACACAGAGCAATAAACTGCTAGGAGAAGCTTTTAGCACCAGTTGCGTAGGGCTGTAGGTCAAGGAAAGGGTCTAAGTTTAGTTTGCACAAGAAACAAAACCTGGTGCCTTCCAATGCTCTGGCTTCAGTGGTGGCACAGGCATTTAGGAAAGTGTACTTTTCCCTGAGGATTAGCAAATAGGCTGATTCCTTTTGTCTTTCTCTTCTAAGGGTAAACAGGGAGGGGAGCAGTAAATCTCTGAGCTAAAATCTTGGGATGATGGTAAATGCAAAAAGTGTGAGAATCTTTAAGTGTAGGGTTAATGTAGGTTATCGATTCTTTGTCTGCCAGTAAGGTAAAGGTAGGGCATGTTTATTTTTTTCTATCTAGGCAGCTATGAATCAACAATTTTGGGTGTGTAGTAATTTTATGTCCTTGGATATCTGGAAATGTCTTAGGTGGAATACTTTTGCCTGGGGCCTAAACACTGACCAAATGCCTGTCAATAAGGATAATTGCAGGAAGGCAGATCTCTGCAATTACATAGGAGAGGGAAATAAGGACCCGATAGTGGGAAACAGGTCTCAAACATAGCTAAGGAATGCAATCAGTAAACTCCAACTGTAGGGGAGAAACTATTCCCAGTAAATGATCAGATAGTGCTAAACTGTGGGAAGTAAATCCCAAGTTTGTTGCTGAAAGGAATGAGCTACAGGAAGAATCTACAGCTAAAAACAGCTGCTTTTATTCATAAGCCTGTATTCCAATACTTCTTTCGTCTTGGTCTAATCCATCAGAACAATCCTTAATTCTTTGGAGTTATCTCATGAGATGATGGCTGTATAATTACTGTGTGGTCTTGAGGCTTGTAGCAGAAGAACAAGATCCAAATGGCTTTTATCAAGCTAGGATGGAGCAAGAAAGGCAATCCAAGAAATGAGACTGGCACAGGCCAAGTGTTCAGATGAGCCCAAGAGAGCCATGGTCACCGGGCACCAGGACTTACTGAGGCTAAAAGGTGAGACACCACACAAGAGAGATAAGTCCTCAATGGTGGCAGCAGTCAGAAGTGGGAAGGGAGAGGGGATCACCAGTTATGCCGGTTTTTGATGAAGGGACCCAGCAATCCAGAGATGCAAGGCTGTCACATAAAGACAGGGTTCCAGGTTTCTGGCATGCCTTAAACTGCCTGTGAGCCAGAGGAAATGCCAGGAGAACCCTCCCTGCCAAGGAACCAATGTTGTAATTTTTAAAAAGGTGGTGGGAGAGAGATGCTATTTGACAGAGTTCAAGTGGGAAAAGGATTGTAAAAAGGGGTAAGGAGAGGGGGGAGACTGGCCACCTGGTACAGGAGCAGTGGAAGGGAGAGGAAGAGGGAGGGAAGAGATGGGAGGGAAAGCGGGAGAGGGAAAAAGGGAGGAAAGGAGGGGAGAGAGGAACAGAGAGACAGACAGAGAAATGGGAGGTGGGCAGGGCCCTTTTAAAGGGAATGTTGTGATTGGTAGTGAATGTGCACAGGCGGTGCTCTTAGTGGCTGCAGCTGAAGGCATACCCTGTCAGAACCCCAAGGACAGGCCAGTACAGATGCCTGAGTACTAACAAATACTCTGAAGAACTAAAAGAGCTCTCTCTCACTGTGCATAATCTGCTGTAAGTGCATCCATTAAGTTTTCCATCTTAACTATTATTGCTAGTTTTAAATTTTATGCATTCTAATGGATTAGTTTCTTTCTGTCCTAATTTAGCTAATTTACATAGTTAGTTTCTTAAATTTGAAGTATAAATTCTATATTCTACACAATTAGCTTTAGTTCTTAGTTTACTAGTTCTCTCTCTCTCCCCCCTTGTGTATATTTAGCCTTTTGATCATGAAGTTCTCTTTTAGGAGGAATGTATTTTAATCTGTTACCCCATGCCTTGGATTCACATGTGTATTTGTTTGTGTCTTCTTTGTAAGAATCGAGGAATTATTAATGACAAGAAGAGGAAGAGGAAAGTCACAAGCAGTAGCCATTTTTTGGGGGGGGTCATTTATAACTTTCTAGACAGTACACTAGATATATTAATAAATGTAATCCCAACGTAATCATATGTGACATGTTCTGTGTATGTCAACATTTATATTTCTCAGTACAAATGCCTGAAAAAATATTGAGAGAGAAATGTTTAACGAAATGGTGCAAGATCAGAGAACTAACTTTGTTCCAGAGTATACATACTAACCGCTATGATATTGTCCCTGTTATTTAGGAAGGAGATCTCCTTCTTGTCTTCTGGACCTGAAATCTGACAAATAAAACACACATGCACATACCCACTCTAAGTTTTCATTTTATCTTCTTTTTAAGCATGGGGCTTCCAAGGGTCTGCATCAGGTCCTTTGCATATATGCTATGGCTGTTAGCTTGGTAGTTTTGTAGGAATCCTAACCGTGGGAGCATGTGTTCTCTGACTCTTTTTGCCTGCTCTTGGGACTCCTCCACTTATTGAGTTGCCTTGTCCATCCTTGATATGAAGGCTTTTGCCTGGTCTTATTGTATTTTGTTTTGTCATGTTTGGTTGTTTGTTGTCTCTTGGAGGGCTCCTCTTTTCTGAAGAGAAATGGAGGGGGAGTGGATCTGGGGGAGATGGGAGGTGGGAGAAACTGGGAGGAGTGGAGGGAGAGGAAACTGTAGTTGGGATATATTTTATGAGAGAAGAATCCATTTTTAAAATGTAACAATTAATGAAAAAGAGGCCATGAATTTGGGAGCAAGCAAGTAGGGGTGGATGGGAATGTTTTGAGGGAGAAAAGGGAAGGGAGGAATTTTGTAATACATTATCATCTCAAAAAATAAAAGAAATAATAAAAATGTATGTTATGAATGTGATGTATGCCACGAGTGTTTGGATGCCAGAGGAGGCCAGAAGAGAATAGTCCTGCTTTATCCTCCTCTGCCTTACTTCTTTGAGACAGAGTCTCTTCCTGGATTTGGTGAGCTAGTGGCCAGTGAACATCACTAATCCCTTTGTCTTCACCCCACATAGCACTGTGCTCATATACATGGCCGCAGTCAGCTTTTCTCTATTGGCATAGGGCAGTGGTAGCACCCACCTTTAATCCCAGCACTCAGGAGGCAGAGACAGGTAGATCTATGTAAGTTCAAGGCCAGCCTTGTCTATAGAGTTCAAGGAAAGCTAAGGAAAAACTGTCTCAAAAAATGCAAATAAAATAAATAAATAAAATGGAATATAAAAAATATAAAGCAACTTTAGCAATAAAATTAATGGGAATATTAATTATATTTTAGGTGACTTCAAAAGATTTGTTCTACTATTGAAACAAACTTATAAGTGTTTGTGACCCTCTTTTCACAGTTCTGGGACCTTTAGAACACCTCTGTTAACTTGTTTGTTTTGACAGTGTTCAGTGTAAAAGATGTGATATTTCAGTTTTGTCTACTTTTAAAAGTAGAATTAATTGCCAAGTATATTATCATGGCTGTAACTGTTATTGCCTTAAAATTATCCCATATACTCTGGAACGTCTCTCTGATTTATGATTATTAACACATGTGGATCAGGAGCCATGTCAAATATTTGAGATTTCCCAACTCATGGACTTTGCTTTCCTGTTTTGCCGTTTGCTGTGGCAGATCAAAAGTTTTCAGTACCTTTCAGATACACTGTGCAATGAGAATGGAATAGATTTCAGGTATTCTAATATTGATGCATAAAAGTCTGAATCCTTTTATGTGTTTTAGTCACTTAAAATTATATTTTGTCACATAACTCATTAAATCCCATGTGACTGTGAACAGAGAAGAAAATAATTCTTCATTTGTCTACCATAGGAATTTCTCCAAGTTAGACTATGGACTACTTTACTTTAAAAGAAAAATAAAAAAAGAAAAGAAACTTTCAGCTTCAGCTGTTTTTTCCACTTAGCATGAATCTGACAAGTTGAAAAGTTACAGCTGTGTTTATCTATGTGTAGTGAGAAAACATGAATTAGTATTTCTCATGCAACTTTAACGACTTAGTTCGATTAGTTAATATTTTTATTCTTTTCTTGTCCTCTTCTCCATATTGGTCTCATCATATCTAAAAGGATTGAACATTTTTTTCTTATTTGCTCTATTTTTCCTGCAGTTAAAAGGCTAAATGAACAGTCATAGGGTTTGTTTTATTCTCAACCAATCACAGAACAGTATTTTCCCAGGAGACTAACTGGCTTGTAGGGAAAGGAACACACACACACACACACACACACACACACACACACACACCAAAACAAATTTATCATGTGCAGCTTGGATTGACCACATCCCCTTTCAGAAACCAGTCTGAGTAAGAATGGCCGGGAGTAACCACCTACTAAGGGACTTATAAGGAACCAGAGATAACGTTTTAACTGGTGCACTAGAAAAAAAGAGAACTGTGTGACTGCTTCCAAGGAATGTAAATATTCCGCAACAGTAAGTAAGCTTATTTTTTTGTGCTCTGGTAAGATCAATCTATTTTTCAGATGTTTCTAGATACTTCAGTATTTTAAGAGCTAAATTTCAATATTTTTTCCTCAACCAGATTTCATTTTGTAGATACAGCAGTAGAATCTAGCTTGCTTCCATTCTAGCCAAGGGAAAAATTGCATAAAAATTATATGTAAATTTAGGAAAGAATAAATTTAAATACTATTAAAATTTGAAAAAGGTTTTTAATTTGTTTATTTGAAAAATTTCTGGACACAATTAATTTCCATCCAATTTCTCTTATTATTTTCTTTAAAATTTATTTATTTTGTACTTTGCTTTAATTATTTTGTACTTTGCTTTCAGAGTTATTGAGTGGCATCTGTATTCACAAAATTAAGAGAAGTTGTATTCTTCTTGTGTATCAGAATCAAGTAATTTTGAGTATGGATTATTATCCTAAGGCTTAGAACTTTTGGTAAAGGTTATTCAGTTAAAATTTATTTTATTTCAATCTGAAGGTATATTCTAAACATATTCTTTGGGATTGTATCTAATCAATGTAATTTATCATCATTCAAGTGAGTTTAAGAAATCAGGATTTTGTTGTTGATTTAATTAGTTATGGGATTTTTACTAAAATGCAAGAAACAAAAACAAGTATTAATGGAATGAATAATTGAATTACTTTATTCACATCATTAAATTCTGTTTTAAAATATAATTATACATTTTCTTTCCCCTAAGGATATATTTTTTCCACTTACAATGTTCTGTTTTATTGTAGAAGTATGACAATAATCACCCCACATCCCACCATAACCTATTCCTCCAAATTCTTTAAAGAGGATGTGTTTCAAGTAAAATTTAGTCATAAATTGTTGCAACAATATTTTACAACATTTCACTACAGTTTTTATGTGTGATAAATATTGAATCAGAAATAGAGTCAGTGGTTTTTTTCAATGGTTTTTGCCTCACTTATTGTTTGTTCACCCAATGAGCAGGTGAAATGACTATGAAAGAGATAAGTGTTTATCAGCAAACCCGAGCGCTTTTGCACAAGAATCTGCTCAAGAAATGGAGAATGAAAAGAGAGAGCTTTTTGGTATGTGCAGAAATTTCACCCTTTCCTCAGAACTCTCCTTTCTTTGCCTAATTATTTCAACTATTACATTATAATCAGTAGACTAGATTAATTACTTTTAAGATAGATACTTTTTATATTTCTAGCTATATTTGTTAATTGAGAAATTCATCAAGGTCTATGACCAATACCATAGAATTATAAACACTAAAAGTATTACATTAAAAAAAGAAATAAAGTAAAAATTTACTTGTATGGTAAATTGTAACAAACATTAAGTGGTTACATATTCTACATTGGTAACCAAGAGATAGTACAGATTTTGCTAAGTATAAATAGAGAAATTTTAATTTTATTGTTTTATTATTAAAAACTTGATTTTCTACATAAAGGTCATTTTCAAACAATTATTTTCAAATAATTACAAAAGGACAACATTGTTGACTTGTAAAAGCAGATTGTTTGAAAAGTGGTGAATTGCACAAGTTTCAGTGGGTTAATGCATGGCAAATATTCGGTTTTCATTGTTTTCAGTACAGGTAATAGTAGAAGAAAAGCAGGTTGAGTGGGGAGAACACTATTTCCATCCACGCAGGAACCTAGGTTTCTTCATCTAGAGACTTGCCATCTGCTCAGACCCTGGTAACCTTTACTCATAAGAAAAAGAATTAAGACAGAGAATACAGTAGATTGGGTAGGGATCTACAAACCATGTCTAGCTGTGGCATGTACTGTGTCTTCCCACTTTCCATAAAAAAGATCTCAAATGCCTATTTTTACTTGTACTTTAAGAGTACATTCTAGTCAAAACTTACAGTTTTCAAATTAATTCTTACTATAGTACATTAATGTGCCCACTTTAAATAAGTGAACATGCAGTGTCAACATTTAGAAGTAAATTCCAAAGACAAGGACATAAATGATTTGTCCAGATAAATTCTGGCATTGGTAAACCAAAATGGTTATTAATGTGAAAACTCAACTGTGTCTTCTCTTTCTCCATTGTTTGGAGAGTTCTTTCTGGTTACTGGTTCATGGGGAGCGATGTCCTTGGACATTAAAGAAGAATTCTCAATTGCTTGGAGAAGAAGTGTGTTCTAACGTTATACCAAGAAGGAAGAAATTATTGCAGCCAGGTGGTGGGGGGCACATGTCTTTAATCAGGAGGCAGAGGGAGGTAAAACTCTGTGAGTTCGAGGGCAGCCTCATCTACAGAGCAAGTTCCAGGACAGGCTCCAAAGCTAAACAGACAAACCTTGTCTCAGCGCCCCCCCCCCAAAAAAAAAGGAAAAAAGAAATTATTGCTATTGGTGATTCACTCATCTGCCTCTCAGTTACTATTTATTTCTTTTAGTTTCTAATAAAAAATATGACAGCTAGCAAGAAACATTGTAATTTACCACTTCTTGCCATATGAAATCATTCATGATTTAATGCAAAACTTTAGACCAGAGAGTGATACATGTGGCTACTAACTCAGACTTAGTCTTTCATTGAGTTTTCCTGTCTCTAAAGAGTGTACAGCAACAAGAAGCCATATTATATGTAAAAATTGAACTTGTCTTCAAAGTTCTTTGGTGTTGACCAATTTGAGGGGAAATAAATCTAGGCTCATTGTTTTTTCTCTTAAAAATTGTTTTATAGGAATGGAGCATCCCAATTATTGTAGGACTGTATATGGGTCTATTTTCATATTTCAAAGAAAACATGCAGTTCCCCGAAATCCCGCCTAAGGATCTTGGAAGTGTAGATGAATTTAATGGATCTTCTATAATGGTTGTATATACACCAATCTCTAACATAACCCAACTGATAATGAATAAAACTACTTTAGCTCCTTCTATGAAAGGTAAATATGCTAATGACAAGAAAGAATTGGTCTTATTGATTTATTTTTTAATAAGATATGTACATGTTAGCTTGAAGTTCCAGTAAAACATCATTCCAAAGAATTCAGGTATCAAGATAGCATATAATCTTAGGTTTTTATTTTTCTTTTGCAACAAGATTATACAATTCTTTCAGCTTGATAAGGGTTCAATTTATGGAGACCTATGTTTGTATTAGAACACAAAGACAAAAAACTTACAAATTTGAAAAACAGCAACTGGGAGAAATGTAGCTATTGGTGCATGTATATGTTTTTAATGTGGATACCCAATGACTAAGATTTATAGCTTGTTAAAAATCTAAGTAATTATCTCATGGCTATTTAACAAGTTCTTAAGTATGAGTATTAAAGATGTGTAATCTGAAGGTGATATTCTTTTCTATGTATAGTATAGAATGCAAAACCTTTAAAGGTTGTGATTTTAAATTGGGCCCATTTTGTAACCAAAACTAAGAAAACACATATTTCATTAATAAGCAACCTAGATGTAGTCTGGCTATTTATTCTTTAATATTCAATTTCTAACTAGTGAAATTTCTGGTTGTTATAGAGTCTGTTGTTTTGTTTCTGCACAAGACAAAAGTCATGTAAATTGATTTTGCTTCAGTAAGAATTCTGGAATTCTCAGGGGTCTAGTAATGACAACAGTGGATTACTCTTGTACTTAACAGCATGATGGTCTTTTTTCCTCATCCACCACTTGTCTTATTAAAACATGTAATTCACATGCACAATTGGATAATTGGATTCTGTGACTTGAAACAGTAAAATAATGTTTTCTAGGTTGCCTTTTAGTTTCTTTAGTTTAAGTGGAATAGTCTATAAAAACATGGCTCGGTCTAATATCACATTTTGTTTTATGCAATCCAGTATACCTGTTTTCATCTTGTACCTCACAGGAACAACAATCATTGGGGTACCGAGTAAAAAAGACCTGGATGAAGTGCTTCTGAATAGTATTCCCCATGCTCTTGGAATCATATTTAACGACACTTTCTCTTACAAGTTAGAAGTATTTCTAATGTATGGAAATCCATTTTTGAAAGAAGACTTATTAGGTGACTTTTCATATAAAATACTTTTGTGACAGTCTTTGTGTTTTTAACAAGAAGAAACAGGTAGGGTTGAGCAACATATACTTTCAGTTCATAGGAGACAACAGACTAACATTTTATTGCTGCCCTTATATTAATTTCACAGCACTGCAGGATAAATAATTCAGCATGCATTTGTTGAACTCTCAGGTCTAAGAGAATGATCAGATCTCAATGTCAGATATGGTAGCAGTTGAGTAGGAAAGACAAGCATTGAATTATTAGCGGCAAGTGCAAGGGAAAGTACTTGTGGTAACTTGGATGCAGGATTCTTAACTCATTGTTGGATTGGAGAAGTAACTTTTAAAAAAAACCAAAGGGACAGCAAGTTGTCCAAGATTAAGAGAGCACTACTGTAGCATGACAAATAAGAGACTCGGAGACTGATACTGGGGTTCAAACTTCAAGCTGAAGATCAGAAAAGCAAAATAGTGGGCCAAGAGCTCTTAGCACTACCTCAGGCTGAGTGGGCTGATCCTGCTGCCTCTCTTTAGTGTGGCTGGAGAATCCTGAGACTTCAATGTCTTCCTATCCTCAAGGTGGCTGGAGAATGAATGCTCCTATTTTCAGTGTGGCTATAGACTGAATGTTCCTATCTCCAATGTGGCTGGAGAATGAATGCTCCTACTGACTACCGAAGATCCTGTTTCTATCTTTTATCCCCCTCTAGTGCTGGGATTAAAGGCATGTGATCTGTTACTATTTTAGATTAATTCAATCTCATGTATCCCTGGCTGGCCTTGAACTCAGAGAGATCCATCTACCTCTTAATCCCGAGTCCTAGGATTAAAGGAGTGTTCCACTACTTCTTAGCTTCTGGCTGCTGGGATTAAAGGTGTGTGCCTGGCTTCTATGGCTTGAGGCTGACTTTACTTTCTGAATTCTCAGGCAAGTTTCAATAATAAATAATATGTCACCATGCATTCCTGATACAGCCCAGAGAATTCAATTTGCAAGTTCAGGGAGAATGTAATGAAACCTGATGACCACTTAGATGATAGCAGAGGCAGCTGAAAAGGAGGAAGGCTTATGGGTTAAAAGATACTTGAGGACACAAAATTGGTGTGTAGAATCAGTTCTTTACTGCAACTCACACACTGAGTGCAGTCTGCATATTCTTCACTGAGTTCCTGTAGAGTACAGTGAATGAAAACCATGGACCCTGTTTTAAGAATCATTCTAGTCAGGGGCAGGAGGCAGGAGAGGAGAAAAGATATACAAATAATATGATAAAGACAATAGATCTGCTTTAGATATTTATGGTGACTTGGAAATCTCTTTAGGATGAAGTCACTTTCTGAAATTAGGATCCAGGGAGAAGTGGTCTTTGTAAGTAAAATTGTCATGGACTTGTTTGTTTGTAGCAAAAGGGTTATCCAGAGTCACCCACGTGCAGAGTATGAGCTGTGTGTACTCTTGTGCTACAGCACAGGAGTGGCTGTATGAAAATATTGGGAAGAAAATTCCCAAGACTTCCCAAGTATAGGTAGTGCACCTTGTTTTCTGTTACTTCCCCAGAAAGGGTGGTGCCTCTTTGTCTTGTCATTACATGTCTGTACAGTAGCTTGTCACAAGTCTTCAAACACTGTGTCTCATTGGCATTTCCACTTCCCACCTGGAGGTATGCATTTTGCTATGATAATTGATTCCAAGTTATTTAGGAAAAAAGTTTCTTCTCATGCACCCATCCTGCTTTAGGAAAGTTCCAAGCTCTTATACACAGAAATTAGGATTTGGTGTGTGTGTGTGTGTGTGTGTGTGTGTGTGTGTGTGTGTGTGTGTGTGTGTGTGTGTGTGGCTTTGATTTAGAAACCCCAAAGCCTTGTTTGTCACGTCTCAAGAAGCTGGTGATTTCTCTATCCCTAGTCTCATGGTTCATGAGAGTAGCTGCTTTTCTGAACCATATCCCCTTCATCTTAACATATTTTCCTCTTCTCAAAATTACCTTGTTTGTTTGTTTGTTTATTTGCTTGCTTGTTTGCTTGGTTTGAGATATTATCATGCCATATAGCCTATGCTGGCCTAGAAATCTATTATGTTTCTGCTTCAGCCTCCGGAGTGCTAGGATTACAGGTGTGCACCACTGTACCTATTTTCTCTGAGGTTAAAAGTTCTGACTAGCAGAGTCTTAATCACTTTCTCTTAGGTGGTTGTTCCTCATTCCCAATTTACCTTTATCCCCTAATGATGATTATACTCTTCCTTGTACTTACAGCTCATTGCTGGGATATATATGGTGATATTTCATGTTCATTGTCCAGATACTGGAAAAAAGGATTTGTGCCTTTACAAACTGCCATCAATGCTGCTATTATAGAAGTGAGTGCTTAATTGAAATGTTCTAGTGGCTACTATAATTAATTGCAGAGGCATCAGGACTTTTATCAAAAGATGAATGTCACAGTTCATTTGCCCTATAATAACTAGACACCCGAGACTGGATAATTTATAAAGAACATAGTTATTTTCACAGTTCTCAAGTCTGGCAAGTATATGACGAGGCCTCAACAAGCTCATTTCCCACAGTTGTCATGGTCTAGTAGCTTTTACATGGCAGAAAGGATGAAAGGTCAAAGAGAAGAAGAACACTGTGTTCTCACTTGGCAGAGGAGCAAAAGGGCAAATTGCACATTAGAAATACTTACCAACCCTTTGATGAGTCACTCATCCATCCACAAGGGCGGGGCCCCATGCCTTACTTCCCCAAACATCCTATCTCTAATATTACAGTGAGGGTGACTTTCCAAATGCAGTGTAGAGGGACACATTCAAACTAGCAATTATGTCAACTCAGATTTTTAGCCAAGGAAGAGACCACTTGATAGAAAACTTCTAGTTCTGAAGTGCTTCACAGAAGCCTGCAGAATGACCCTCCTAGTTCCTTCTAACAGTGACACTTGATGTTACTAGACTACAGCATTAAACTAGGGAAACAGTATTGGTGCAATCTCCAACACTTCAGTTTTTGTCCTTTTCTGACCTTTAATTTCGGTTTGCTTATGTCTTTCTGTATGTAGATCACAACAAACCACTCTGTGATGGAGGAGTTGATGTCTGTTAATGCAGTAACTATGAAGACATTGCCTTTTATTACTAAAGATATTTTTCAATATGAATTTTTTATTTTATTCTGCTTGCTTTATTTCTCCTCGTTTATGTATTTTATATCACGTAATGTTACTAAAGAGAGAAAAAAGTATAAGGAATTGATGAAAATAATGGGTCTACAAGATTCAGCATTCTGGTGAGTCATAAAGAAATTATACAACAGTGAAAGTGTTATTGTTTTATAATTCCACAGTTTAAATTTGATATGTGGGCTGCTTTTGTTTTGCTCTGACTACTAGATGTAGTCTTTGTTTGATCTGCCATGTAAGATAGTCACTGTAACTCACTGAATATGCTTTTAACTCTGGCTTTTTTTATGCCACCTCTAAGATAGAGGCACTATTATTAAAGATGTAAATGAAGATAAGACAGTTACCCAGTGTCAGGTAGATGGCAAATGGCAGAGCCGGGCCTAGGTGCAGTCCTGATGGCAGTTCTGCCTGATCACTCCTAGTTATGAGCTGACTTCTCCACACTTCCTTATGTAAAGAAAACAGTCTTGTAAGGGTCTGTTGTGTTCATGGGCTGTTGTATTCATCCCAATCAGTGATTTTTTGAAGTAAGTAAATGCTGTTTTAAGTGATGCAGTATGATCAGGACATCACATATAGGCTGGTGTTTAGGAAAGACTTAATAACATCACTTGAACTACATATTAATATTTATACCTTGCCTCAATCCACAAACACTTTAAAGTGATTTTGAAATATATATATATATATATTTCATATAGATATGGATGTATCTATTTATGTATTTGTGACATAATAAAGGTGAGTACTTTCATAGAAATAAAGACCTAGGAAAATAGTAGATGAGTTTAATAAAGAGAAATACAAATAACATGACATCTAAACTCCTCTGAAACAAAACACAGAATTTGGTATCAGTGACAAAATGTATATTATCAGGTCAAAAGGAAAATTATGTGCTCATAGGAAACAGGACATGTTTTGATATTGATTCGGAGGGGTTACTTTTCTCTATATTACACAAATAAAGAAAAGTGACATATAATCTTAGCATTGGGTAAGTGGATGCTGGAAAATGGAGCTTTCTGGCTTATCTGAGCTGTCTAGAGACCAGAGTCGCTGAGACCCTTCTTGATAAACCAAACCTAGTGAAACTCAAACACCACTTAAAACACACACACACACACACACACACACAAAAAAAAAAAAACCCTCCATAAAACCCCAAAACTATGTGTGTGGAATAATAAAACTACATGGATTGGATGAATAATTATTGATTGAAAAATCTAGTAACTTGTGTTCCCTGAAGTAAAATCATTGTCTAAAAATCTTTCTTTCCATGTACAGTATATTTACCAACAAAGATAATTTTAATTCTAATGCATATGGATTAGGAAATAGAAAAGGAGGAAACCATGTCTTTAAAAAGTGAGGGATTTTTGTGTGGGAACATTAGTAATCGCAGAGGAATGGATGTATATCCTGTCATGTAAGTCTGTTAGGAAGGAAGAGAGAGCAGACCTTTGGAGAAGGGGGTCTTCCTTCAGTCCACAAAAAGTCCTAGGGGGCAGAATGCCCAGGGTCACCTTAAATTAGGGAGGTACCAGTTAGGCTGACCAAAGAGATACTAAACATTCTAATGTCAAGTCATTTTCAGTATGATTCTTAGTATGCATATAAATTAAAACCTGGAAAAATGAATTGATATGTACATCCTTATAGCCAAGAAAGAAGATGCTTTGGAAATATCTTTTCCAAGTATCATACACCTATTGAAAGTAAATGTGACTTCAACAAACTAATGCCATAAATATGAAATGTAATAATTATTTTTAAAGTATGATGTAACAATAAATCTTCACTCCAAAGCCACCCAAACACCACCACCATGTGGGCACTTTCCACCAGGCCTCCCAAGTTCTGCCTGCCACCATGTTAAGGTTCCAAGTAACACTCAGAGACTTATATTAGGTACAAATGCTGCTTGGCCAATGACTAGGATTTCTCATCTGCTAGCTCAGTCTTAAATATCATAAATCTATATATTTCATAAGACTTATTTTATGGAGGACACCTTCTGCTGGCATCCTCATCCCAGGATCACATGGCGGTTCAGAACAGAGAGCAGGAGGAAGTGCTAAAGGGACAACTTCCTTCTTGCCCTTGCTTATATACTGAGTCTGCCTGCTATGTCACTTCCTGCCTGTATCTTTTACTACATTTCCCAGAATCCTCCTTGACTCCTAGTCCCATCTAACTTGCTGCCTCATTGGCCAAACAGTACTTTATTTATCATCCAGTAAGGCAAACACATACACAGAAGCACTTCCCCCATCAGTATGATGCTTGTATTGTTTTACAAGAAATAAGATTTTGTCTAAGTTTATTAATATCACCTCCTAACTCCACCCCTATAGCTAGCTTCCCTTTTAAGTAATTGTTTTAATGTCTTTATTTCATAATTTTCCTACGCTGTGATTTTTCAATCCTACATAAAGCATTCCTGTTCTGTACTTAGGAAGTAAATTCACAGAATGTTATTTTTTTAAATGCTGAAGTTTCTAACATAGGCCAACTCAATATAATGATATAAGGTTAAAAATTAAATAAGTAGTAAATCCAGTTAAACATTTTACTTGGGTGTACTCTTGCAAAGCACACATCTTTTGCTGCATTCTTCAGGAGTTTAATTCTTCCTAATTATACAGTTTTAAACAGAGGAAAGAACTCTGGGCATAATAATGGCTGCAATTATGTTTGTGCCTTGTTAATGCTTTGTTTTGTGACTTTTCACATACCCATTAATTAAGGGCGCACAGCCTTATTATTTGTAAATGAGACACTGGAACACATGAATTCTTATAGTCTAGTCAGATCTAACAGTGGATGATGTTCTTTAACAATATTGTAAAAAAATGTGAATGCCAACACATCTAAAGCAAAATAATATAAAAGTATAAAGGTGTGTCATAACTTATATCCATTTCAGTAAAGCAGTCATAGGAATAGGAAGCATGTGATGTCGTCAGTGGAGTTGTGGGTTTTCAGTTTTCTATAAAGTGTTGCCTGCAGGGATGCTGAAGCTCCGATGCCTATAGAGGCATTTGATTGATTTGACTGGCCATCAGCTGTTAAGTCTCCTTCCAGCTTTTACAGGTTAATGGGTAATGTCTAATAAAACTGATACATAAAATTTAATTCAGTAATTTCACTCTAGAAATATTCTTCTACATCTGACATAAGAACAAACATAATAAAATTCTTGGCACCATTATAACAAAGAAAAATAGGAAACAATTGTCTAAGGTCACAAGAACAATAGAGTGTATTAATAATGAAATATATAAGCTCTCTATATAATAGTTAATGTTGATTAATAAAGGCAAGTTATATGTAATACACACAGCGTAAGCCATAGTTTATACAATGCTTATAGTTATTTGTGTAATAGATACATATAGAAGCCTGGCCTTCAGGTACCAGCAAGGCCATACTTTGGTTTTTAGCCACTTAATTGGTTGTAACATTCTTTCCTATTGGTTGGTGCCATAATAATATTTGGCATCTCCCATTAGTGTGTAGTAAAGGCAATCAGAATGCATGGGATTCATAAGCAGGATGTTTGCCAAAAGATTACCTTAGGGGGAAAAATGGAGAACTATAAAGAAGAACAAACACAATGGACCTCAGCTGTATTATCAGTATCATAGTTATTAAACTAGGGTGCACATACAGAGTAATGATGTTGCTCTTTAGATGCTTTTGTAGATGTAAAAATATTTATTTAAAAGGCTAAGTTATTTAAATGTTTTTTGTCTTTGTTTAGGCTGTCCTGGGGCTTAATCTATGTTGGCTTCATCTTCATTATTTCCATATTCATTGCAATTATCATAACATCTGCCAAAATTATAGTGATGACTGGTTTCCTTGTCATATTTACACTCTTTTTCTTATATGGATTATCTTTGGTAAGTGTATGTATTTAATATCACCTTTTACACATTAGATCTTAGCTGTGGGTAGCAAACATTAATTCTCCAGGAGGTTAGGAAGGTACTTTTTCATGTCCGGTGTGCGTGTGTGTGTGTGTGTGTGTGTGTGTGTGTGTGTGTGTGTATGAGCATGTGGATGCACATATGTGTTTGCTTGAGAAAATTTCAGTAGATATTAGAAAATAATGTCAACACAAGTAAATTGGGCCCCTCTTTTTTCATAGAAGTCTTGTTCATTCATAAATGAAATGGTGCATCAAAAATGTTTTTTTATGAAATCTTTTATTTGAGATATTTCAAGATTTTAATTGTGAAACTTTTAATTAACTTAAATGAGTAAAAATATCTTGCTAGGCAGCTAGTACTACTGCTCAAGTTTACTTTTTATTTTATCATGGTGATCAACTAAAATTGGTCTCATGGAGGTGAATTTTAATCATTATGCCATCATCGGCAGTAGATGTAAGTGAAGATAATACATTAATACCCAGAGTTCAGGAAAGAAAAAGGGAAGAGTAGAAGGAAGGCAGGCCTGTATACAGCCTGTGTGTGGACTGTTTTGCCTATGATCATTAGAGTAACTCTCTCATCATGGGAAAGGCCATTGCGAAGCATTAAGGTTCACTGAGGTGCTACTTCAGTTGCCTTGTGTATCTCCAATATGAATTAGACATAAACAAAGGACTTCTTTCTATTTTTTCTTTTATCAAAAACAGATTAGTTTCTCTTATACTATAACCTGATTATAGCGTCCCTCTCTCCACTCCTCCCAGTTCCTCACCGCCTCCCCACTCTTCCAGATCCACTCCCTTTCAGTCTCTCATTAGAAAAAAAAAACTGGCTTCTAAGAGATAACAACTGAACGTGACAATATATAATAGGACAAAACAAAAACTATCATTTCAAAGTTGGACATGGCAACCCAACAGGAGGAAAAGACTCCCAAGAGCAGACACATGCATCAAACATACACTCTCATACTTAGGAATCCCATAAAAATACCAGCCCAAAAGCCATCATGTATATGCAGAGGACTTGGTGTGGAGCCATGTAATTTCTCTACTTGCTGCTTCTATTTCTGAGCTCATACTCACCTTTCTTAGTTGATTCAGAGGCCTTTCTAGTGTCTTTCATCCCCTCTGGCTCTTACAATTTTTCAGCCTCCTCTTCCAGGGGATTCCCTAAGCTCTGAGGGGGGTGGATTTGACAGATCCATCCCATTTATACTATCTCTGAGTCATGTCTAGCTGTGGGTCTCTTTACCACTCCCATGTGCTGCAGGAGAAAGCTTTTCTGATATTGACTGAATAATGCACTGATCTATGAGTATAGCAGAGTGTCATTAGGAGTCATTTTATTAGAGTTTTTAGACCAGTTTATTTTGTTTTACCCTAGGTACTTGGGCTATCTAGTCTCTGGTTGTTGGTTACCTAAGCCATGTTGGGTATGGGTGCTGTCTCGTGGAGTGGCCTTAAGCCAAATCAGACATAGGTTGGCTACTACCACAAGCTCTTTGCCACCATTTCTTTCCCTAGCATATTTTTACAGGCTGAGTAGACTGCAGGTCTAAGGTTTTGTAACTGGGTTTGCGTCCATGTTTCTTTTTGGTAGCCTTCAGAATACCTTCCCACACCAAAGTGTCTAGAATATAGGGGTGAAGGCTCCATGTAGGCACCAGCTCGACTTCTCCATGTTCAATAGTTGTATGGGTATTATCCTTGGCAATGGGGCCCTGTTGACAGTTTGCAGGGAGCAATCCTTTGTCTCAGCATCAGCCTGGTTGTTTGAGAATTTCCATGGGATCCCCTTAGCCAACAACTTAGTTGAATGCAACCCCAGCCCCAACACTGGAAGCCTCACCAGGTTATAAAAGATGGCTAGTTGGGACTCATATCCCTTATAACTAGGAGACCTCATTAGAATCACATTCATAGATTCCAGAAGTTTCCACTGTACTATGTTTCTCATCCCTCAAATGTCCTGCAATTCCAAGCATCTAGTATCTGTAGTCTCTTAGAGCCTGTAAGACATCTGTCCAGGCCCTTCTGGCTTCTCCATTCTAATAGGCCTGTTTTTATACATAGCTTGGTCTTTTTCCCTTGTAGATTTTAATATTCTTTCTGTGTTCTGTATGTTTAGTGTTTTGATTATTACATGCTGGTGGGGGCTTCCTTTTTTGGCCCAATCGATTTCGTGTTCTGTAAACTTCTTTTTTTTGCATTTTAAAATTTTAATTTAAATCAATCATATGTTACATTTTCCTTCCTGTCAATCACCACCACAATATCTGCCATGTTCTTTGTAGGTATATCCATGTCATCACATGCTTTAGCAGCCAATGTTCATTTTCGTTGTTGGACAGTATTCCATTTTATGGATATACTACATCTTACTTGTTCATTCTTAAGTTGATAGGTATTTGTATTGTCTCCAATTTGGGGCTATTGAGCATGTTTTCTTTTTTTTCCATTCATTTATTTAGCTCATATATAAAGTCATGCACAATTATGATACACAATACAGTATGTTCACAATGGCATGGCTAAATTAAGCCAATTAACATGTTATATCACACATATTCATCATTTTTGTTTTGAGAACACTTAAAGTATACTATCTCAAAACTTTTAAAATATAGCATATTGTTATCAACCATATTTATCATGCTCTCAGTAGACCTCAAGACTTCACAGAGTCCATGCCTCTTGTCCAACTGCAGTTTTATATTCTTAAACCAATCATTTCCCCATTGTTAAAAACCCACATTGAAGCCTAATAGCCACAATTCTGCTCTCTGTTCCCATAAGTTCACCATTTCTAGGTTACACATAAAATTGAAATTGTGTGACATTTGTCTTCCAGTGTGTCATTTATTTATTTATTTTGGTAAGCATATAACTTTACTACTTACTAAAGATGAAATCAAATTTACATGCACAGGTGAGCACTCACTGAAACACCTTGGATTCATTACATATTTGAGTTTCAGTTAGCATATATATATATTTATATTTATATAAAAAGAGCAATAATGGCAATATGTCATGCATTAATAGCAGCAACAGCTTTTCCAGGTTCTGCAGTCATTTGAACAAAATTGTAGAGACATCCAGCACACTCCATTAAAAAAAAACAAAAAGCAAAAACAAAACAAAGCAAACAAGAACAGCAACAACAAAACAGCAAAAAACAAAATCCCAGAAAACAGCACAGTTCTGTTACTCTTGTGGTACTTGGCACCATTTTTTTTTTTAAATTAGCTTCTCAGTCATCATCTGGAAGGAAACCATTCTGAGCAACATCATTAAAAACAGCTCTGATAAGCATTGTCACTACTATCTATCATAAAGCAGGTCCACATATGAGTGAGTACATATCATGTTTGTCGTTTTGTGATTGGGTTACCTTGCTCAGAATGGTTTCTTTGAGTTCCATCCATTTTCCTGCAAATTTCATTATTCCATTGTTTTTTTCTGCTGAGTAGTACTCCATTGTGTAAATGTACCACAATTTCTCTATCCATTCTTTGGTTGAGGGGCATCTAGGCTGCTTCCAGTTTCTGGCTATTACAAATAATGCTGCTATGAACATGGTTGAACATATATGTCCTTGTTATATGAATGTGCTTCTTTTGGGTATATGCCTAGGAGTGGAATTGCTGAATCTTGTGGATTCCCATTCTTCTTCATTCCCATTTTCTTGAGGAGTCGTCATACTGATTTCCACAGTGGCTGTACAAGTTGGCACTCCTATCAGCAGTGGAGGAGTGCTCCTCTTTCTCCGCATCCTCTCCAGCATAAACTGTCATTGGTATTTTTGATTTTAGCCATTCTGACAGGAGTAAGATGGTATCTCAGAGTTGTTTTGATTTGCATTTCCCTGATGGCTAAGGATGTTGAACACTTTCT